AGAAGAAGAAGAATAGTAGACCAGTTAGTTGACAAATATATTTCATAATGTCCCATTATCCCATAAGGCCATAACATTTTGTTTTTCCTTCATTCTCTTTTAATTTTATTTTATTTTATTTTATTTTATTTTTGGTGATATTTTCTGTCTCAGCCTTCTTCTATCTAAAATACATTCCTTTTGTTCACCAGTGGACATTCTGGACGACATGCTAGCTGGAGTAGGGTGGTCAATGCAAGATTACTTGAAATATGGCGATAATGATTACTATCCACCTCTTCGTAATGGGCATAGGCTTTTTTTGCACGATATTAGACTTGTAGCCGTGAGATGTGCAGTGGCCATGGGCGAAGAAGGAGACGTGGTTGTAAGTTCTTTTGTCATCCTGTGGCCCTCATTCTCTCTCTCTCTCTCTCTCTTTTCCAAAAAAAAAGAAAAAGAGAAACAAAAGAAAGAAAGAAAGAAAAACACGGGCAGACATTTTTTGGAACGAGAAATCTGTTTCCACCTCATTGTTGAGACTAACTTGAGAAGAAATTAAAATCTTTCAAATTTTTGGAATAATTATCCTCAGTGACGATCTTCTGGATTGTGAACAGGTGGTTGCTGGCAAAGGTCATGAAACGTTTCAATTAGAAGGGGACAAGAAAGAGTATTTTGATGATCGTGTGGAATGTCGAGAGGCACTTCAATATGTTGACGAGCTTCACCAAGCTGGGATAGATACCAGTGAATTCCCGTGGCGGTGAGCTTCCCTCTCTCTCTCTTTTTTTCTCCCTCCATTTTTTTCATCTATAAACAAAAACGAATAAAATAATAAGTAATAAAAAGAAAAAAAAAAAAGAAAAACCCCATTATTCGTCCACCAAACAAAAGAAGCTAGAGATGTGACTGTATCTGATGTTATGATTGTTGCATGCATTCCAAAACTGTGTTACAACCATTTGTGTTTCCACAGGTTGCCCGAGAGTCATTAGTCTATTGCACATTTGCTCTATGTACGGGAAAAGTTGTCAAGACGAGCGGAAGGTAGGCAGATGGCAATTTTGTTTAAAAAATCAGCGTATTGTACATCCGGTGAGAGAAGTATCCTGTAATGAATGAAGAGAATGGGAATTCATCACTTCTTAAGGTGCAGATAAGTATTTACCTTTTTTTGCATCATTTTTTATTATTATTGGCAAATGAGATACGTATGTACTCAGTATTGCTTTCTTGTTATAACTCCCAAGTTCAACACTATTCAAGTATAAAATGTTGCTGCTTTGGTTTATGAAAATGACATCTGTCTGTACAACACACTACTCCTGGTGAAGCTTAATTTTTGAAAAAAAGAAATAAATGTTGAGGGGTTGTTTGTGATTTCTGAAGATAATTTTTCTCTCTAAACTTCATGGATATTTGCAATAAATTCAAGTGTTCGTATAAAGCTAGAACACTTTACTATCTTTTCCCAAGCCACTAGAAATTTGAGGTTAACATTTCCATTTTCTGTTTGCAGAAAATGCGTTTTACCAGTGCACGAGCCTCATCCCTAGCATCGTAAGAGAATTTACTAACAGTTCTTGCTCGTCTTATGAATAATTATCATCAACATGTCTTGCACCCGAGCATGATTATCTAATCAAGAAGCTCAAGTGTAAACTGTGTAAGTGTGACTAGATAGAAATCTCTCTGTATGATCTATTCTAGTTTATGCAGTGTAAAAAAGGTTGTCAATATTCTGCAATCCCACATTATATGCCTCTTCAATTTCAATTTTTGTACTTGCAAGATTAATCGCTGTTGGATCGTGCTGGTTAATACATACTGCGCGTACGAAATTGTTGCCTGGTGAACAAATATTCACAAGTCTGGAAATCCTTTGTTGCTCGATGAACTTTGATAAATATATAAATTTATGTTAATTTTTCGTAGATGCAGCCTGACGCAAAAAAGATCGACAGACCAATTTTGTAGGCTCGAAAGTTAGTCGTCATAATGTGCAGGGGCCCCCACGAGTGTTGTAACCGAACAACATACATATAGGAGTATGTGTAAGTGTGTGTAATTCAACAGTTAAAAATTGAAATGATTAATGTGTTGGTTCTCTAGTATGATGCCAATTATAAGCAGTGTTCTAGAAGTCGCTAGGCGCCTGTTAGGCGCCCGACCAACACCTAGGCAGGGCCTAGGCGGCGCCTAGGCGGGGCCTAGAAATTATAATAAAATATTATTTTTTATTTATTTTTACAATTTCACTAATGAAATTATAACTTATAATTAATAAATCCATACACCTAAGTCCAATAATATTATTAATATTATATTATAAAAAAAAACTCCAAGTCAAAATAAGTACATAACCACAATATAACTTCTTCTCATTGTAATTTAATCAAACACATTATCTACATGTTATGTTTTAAATATTACACAACATAAGATAAATATAAAAATCTATAAAATAATAAATTATAAGATTTATTATGTAAACTAAATGCATTTAGTAAAAAAAAAAATAAAAATTGTAAAAACCGCTTAGAACCCGCCTCGGCCGCCTAGAACCCGCCTCAGCCGCCGAAACCGCGTAGCCGCCGAGGCCGCCTAGCTCCGCCTAGGCCCGACTAGGTGCCGCCGAGCCCGCCCGGCCGATTTTTATGGCCTATGTGGCCAACTCGTAGGCGTTGTACCGGCGCCTAGCGCCTAGGCGGCCGCCTAGGCTGACTTTTCGAACACTGATTATAAGAGAGAAAATGAGTAACATGACACGGTTTTGTATTGATAGGCTAATAATTGAACAAAATGTTGGGAAAAAAAAAAAGAATGATTGTTATCAAGATTGGCTATAGTCCTTTGTTTTCTAATCTTTAATAAACGTTTTTCCTTTCATTTATGTTATTTGTTTAAGTAATAAACATACATGAAACATTGACAAAAGGACATCATAAAATATAGTTAACCGAATCAAATTGAACCACACTCAAATTTAATTTTGGTCAAAACTGAAATCGAATATTCGTTCAGTTATGATTTCCCCCTTGTAGTATTTTGATTATCGATTTAATTTGGATATGAGTGCTCGTTTAATCAAATCGAACTAAAAAACCGCAATTATCCATACATTTGTAAAAGGTAAATCGAATAATCATCTTCATCTATCTACATCTATAATTAGACCATAGTTTAAGCTCATTTCATGTTTTCTTTTCTATCATTGGCCAATCGAATATCACGATTTTGCTATGAAGCCATCAGATAGCTCGGCTTATAGAGCAATCATAGTTATTCACAAATTGTGTATTGACACGTGTACTGCAATAAATGCACATTGGACATGTGTCAGTACATAAAGTAATGGATGACTCCATAGAATTTCTGTCAAATATCAAATAAAATTGACCAACAGATTCTCGGTTTAAAACATTTGGTTCTCGTTTTGGACAAAGAAAAATTCAATTAACTGATTTTTATGTGGGTTTGGTTCGATCGAGGAATTCAACAAACCTAGACATATCAACTTGTTTGCACCCCAAATCAAGATTCAAGAATTTTATCGAAATTATTACACTTTTTTTTTTTATATTTTTGTGGCGACGCTAAAAAGGCTAAATTAAGAAAGCAAGCAAATTTATCACACTCTACCAAGTTATCAGATGTCAGTTGGGTTGGGCATAATGCTGTTAAATTAAACGAGCCTAACTCGGCTCGGTTCATTAAAACTCAGCTCGGCTCGAATTCGAAGCTTTAACGAGTCGAGCTCAAGCTCATTTAAAGCTCGTTTGGTTAACGAGACTATCCTGGCAATATGTAAGTGAGAGTCGGTGCTTGTCGTTGGACTCGTTGAGTCCAAGCACACACTACCACAGTAAACCCATTTCGCATTTCTTGCTTTATTCTATTCTACCATCGCAAATTTGTGTTTTTTCATCCTTTCACCGCGGCTTAAAAGGGGAGAAAGAACAAGAGAAAACCCACAGATTCCTTCAACTTTGTCTGGACGAATACCCAACAATTCTCTCCCCCCTCCTCTCTCTCTCTCTCTCTCTCTCTAAAGGTTAATTAGAGATTGTGGTGATGCAGTGAAGAAATAAAATTAAAATCTTTACGAACTGAGAAAATTTCATAAAAACTCCCACATGGATATTTGGAGATTTTTCAGCTTAATTTGCTTGTGGGCTTGTGTGCTGATTTGTTTGATCAGCCCTGCTAGAGTGACTGCTGGTGACATAGTTCATGACGACGATTTGACTCCCAAGAAGCCAGGATGCGAGAATGATTTCGTGTTGGTAATTTTTTTTTTNNNNTTTTTTTTTTTTTTTTTTTTTTTTTTTTTTTTTTTTTAACATTTTAGTCGATTCTACTGCAATATCTCGTATGGGTTTGTCTTTATCTTTTGAGTTTATGGTGTAAAGATTGAATCTTGGAGATTCTTGTTCAGTCGTTTTTGTTGGTGGGGTTGAATATGTAGCTTTGATGTAATATTTGTTGAAGTGCCTCGAGTTGAATTTAGCGATGGGTTGCTTATTTAGTGAATTTTTAGACATAGCTTTCTGGATTTTCCTAGTCATATCGTTTGTGTTCATCGTTTTGGGGAAAAATTTTATAGGTAAAAGTCCAGACTTGGGTTGATGGTGTAGAGGATGTGGAATTTGTTGGTGTTGGTGCTCGATTTGGGACTACCATAGTATCGAAAGAGAAAAATGCTAATCAAACTCATCTCGTCCGATCGGACCCTCGGGATTGCTGCAGTCCTCTTAGAAAGAAGGTTCTTGTTTCAACTGTTTTAATTTACACGGGATTGATTATAACGTCTCGGTTGCTAATTGTGTAATTTTTGCTGTTCTTCTTTAAATGCTTTTAGATTGCTGGTGAGGTTTTAATGGTGGACCGAGGCCACTGCAAGTTCACATCCAAGGCGAATTTCGCTGAAGCTGCTGGTGCTTCAGCAGTCCTCATTATAAACAATGAGAAAGGTAGTGATTGCTTGTGTTTGTATATGTTCATAAAATATGTCCTCCCTTTTTTTGATCTATTTATCCTGTTTTGACTTGTTAAAGTGTAGCCAGTTTGAAGTTTTCCTGAATTTGCTCCTCTTTAGTTTTTGTGTAGAATCATTATCTGATGTAAATATGAAAATCGAAATACGGATGCAGTTTTGTATGATGAGTTTTAAGTTCCACTCTCGACAATGTGGAAGGATCCTAATCTGAAATGGATCTGTATACAAATGTTACATTATACGAACAAATTTCTTGAACTTTGGTGCACTGATGTCAATGGCTAATTTTCGCTTCCCGAATGATTTTCTTTCTACTTTCATATAAATGTCTGTTTTTCCTCAATTTTGCAGAACTATACAAGATGGTTTGTGAGCCTGATGAAACTGATTTGGACATACACATTCCCACCGTTATGCTCCCACGTGATGCTGGTGCAACATTGGAGAAAATGTTGTCCAATAGTTCATCGGGTAATACTTTCATGTGCTGTGCGTGATTGAAATTTGTTTTTCAGAAAAAAAAAAGGAAAAAAAGTGTTGAGTATCATCAGTCGAAATGATATATCTGTTCTGCTCAGTTATGATTTTTCTCTTCACTGTGGCAATGAAGATGCAATTCCTCTTTCTAACACCTTTTCCTTTTCTCCTTTTTTTTTTTAATTCTGGTGAAATTATTGTGCTCAAACTTTTGGCGAAGTAGGATTCATATGGAATGACCGGTGGATTCCCATTGGAGTGATTTTCCTTTTTTTTTTTTTTGTTGTATTCTCATTTTAAGTTTCTACTTTCTATATAGTATCTGTACAGCTTTACTCTCCCAGGCGACCTGTGGTTGATATAGCCGAAGTATTTCTATGGATGATGGCAGTCAGTACTATCTTATGTTCTTCTTACTGGTCCGCATGTAGTGCACGAGAAGCTGCAATAGAGCAAGACAAGTTTTTAAAGGTTTTATGTTTATTTATTTATTTATTTATTTAATAAATCACACGAATTTTTATTCTTTCTCTGCCTTTTGAGTTGAACACCATTTTGCTTTTTCTTAGGATGCTACTGATGAGCCTCCAAGAATTGCTAAAGGCAGTGATGGGAGCAGTGTTGTGAATATCAATACGAAATCTGCAGTGTTGTTTGTTTTTGTTGCATCGTGCTTCTTGATTCTAATCTATAAGCTGATGTCGTACTGGTTCATCGAGCTTTTGGTGGTCATCTTTTGCATTGGTGGTGTAGAGGTTTGCGGCCTATTTTCATTTACGTCCTTTTATTTTTCGAGCTTATTTTGTCTTTAGGTTTGTTTTCTCTTCATAGCTGACACTATTTTGAAAACTATCCTTGAGGTTTGAGTTAAAAAACAAAAGGAGCAACTATCATTCAGAACAATAGATACTAGATTAAGGTATTAGTTTGTGAACTTAAAGTAAACAGCAATGATGAGGTCTTTGTGATCTGGAATTTTATATTTTTCGCAATTGGATAATAACAACAACAACAACAACATACCCAGTATATTCCCAACTGGTTGGGGTCTGGGAGGTCAATTGTACGCAAACCTTACCCTTGTAATTATACAAGGAGGCTGTTTCCGTAGCGACCCAAGGTGCATGGCGTCATTTGATATATTTTTTTTTTTTTTCTAGAAATTTCACTAATAGAAGAAGCACTAGAATTTAATTGAGCCATTTTGATCTAGTCCATTATTAGCACTATGCCAGGAGAATTGTCAACAATGACTCTTCCAGCTCCATTTGCAATGGACAAATTTTTCGCAATTGGATAAAACCAAAAAAAAAATTCCTTTGTTTTATTGTTCTTTAACTAATTTAAAGGTGAATCGTATATGTACAAAATAAACTGATGAGATTCTCATTGATTGCCATGGTTTCTTGTTTTGCAATGCTAAAATGTTAGCTCTTTTTTTTTTTTTACTTGCAGGGTTTACAAACGTGCTTAGTTGCCTTGCTATCAAGGTACGGTAACTTAAGTGCATTTTCACACTAACTATAAGCAATTAAAGAACAAAAAATGTCAAATTAGCCACACTCTTAATTTCTTGCAGGTGGTTCAAGAAAGCTGGAGGCTCGTTTATAAAATTACCTGTTTTGGGGCCAATCTCATACCTTACACTGGCTGTTGCACCATTCTGCATAGCTTTTGCTGTTATCTGGGCTGTGGAAAGAACTAACTCTTTTGCATGGATAGGTCAAGATATACTCGTATGTATGATTTACTGAAGTTCAATATCATTATATCTTTCGACCTTTAAGTAGATAAATAGAAAATAACATCCATCTAACCCTTTTTTGTCATTTTTCTCATGAAAGGATGGTGTTATTTTCGATATCAGCACTATCTGTTTTGCCTTTGACAAAAAAATTACGTTGGTCAATCAAAGACAAATTCAAGAAGTGAACGCCAATTAGTTTGGTGAAGAGCCGCATAATCTCATATAATTTTTTCTGCATCAAGTAGATGATTTTTTGTAAGATAAACATATCATGTGTTACAAATTCTATCATAAAAACTATTATCAGTGTAATATTTCATCGCATTTAAATGCAATGCTTTCTTAGCACTTTCACCTGACCAATTTTCTTAACACTTTCGTGCCTGATCAGGGAGTTGCGCTTATAATTACTGTTCTTCAGATAATCCGAATCCCTAATCTCAAGGTAATAACACTAATCAAATTTGTACGTTGTGCGAGGCTTACATAGTTTAATGAATTTTTCTCATTTATATCATGCATCACACTTGGCTTACGAAAAGGTGATAATTACGTACAAATTTGATATTCTTACACTCTGTTTGAGCTGTGAATTGTGATCCACACTAAAATCGGCAATTAAACTCATCGAGATTACACTAATAGAGCATTATGAGGATTAAACAATATATGACAACCCTCTTGAAATGAGATTATATAACCAAGAGAGTCTTATGATTTTCTATCAAGAATTATTGAGTTATCGATCATCGAGGTTATCACTATAGAGGCATCTAAAAGCTCAAATGTTCTTTTTTTTTTTATATATATTATCTCATGAACTTTTTACGTAACATGGGGTTTTGTTTATATTTTTTTTTTCAGGTAGGCACAGTCCTCTTAGGCTGTGCTTTCGTTTATGACATCTTTTGGGTGTTTCTTTCCAAGAAACTGTTCAAAGAAAGTGTAATGATTGTGGTAAGTAGATATCTAAAATCACACGGCCCAGGCCTGGTAAATATATATATTTACACTATTTTTTAGCCGTTAATTTTATATATTATCAGGTAGCGCGTGGTGATAGAAGTGGTGAAGATGGAATCCCAATGCTTCTAAAGATTCCTCGTTTATTCGATCCGTGGGGTGGATACAGTATCATTGGCTTTGGGGATATCCTTTTGCCCGGCCTTCTTGTTGCATTTTCCCTTAGGTTTGGTTTTTTCTTTTATTGTTTTTTTTAAAAAGTAAAATAAAATTTGGCATCACATATTTGCACTCGAGAATGAACAATTTTTACCGTGATCGCAACTTGGATGTAAAGTCATATGTCAGTAATTAATTAGAAAAAAAAATAAATAAATAATTTTCATTGGTAATGCCATGGAGCTGACACAATTTTTTTAAGAAAAATGTTAACCTCAAGTGCCTTTTTTTTCTTTCAAGCATATACATTTATTTATCCAGTTAATTTGGATTTGGCCTAATCTCTATCTATTACAGGTATGATTTTCTAGCGAAGAAGACCCTTCGAAACGGATATTTCCTGTGGGCAATGTTTGCTTATGGATTAGGTACAAAATCATACACGAACAAC